GTTCCTGTAAATTGTAGCTACTTGTGCATATTAAATAAACAATGGGAATAAAAGGATGCAAAAGGTGCTTTGGCCTCTTGGTTAGCGCGCTCGCCTACGGATCACGCGGTCTAGGAACGAGCCCTAGCCAGGGACATCATGTTGCAACTGTGTTCTTTGGCAAGACACTTTACTCTCACAGTGTCTCTCCACCCAGGTGTCTACATGGGTACCGGCGAATTTAACCCTGCGATGGTCTAGTATCCCACCCAGGGAGAAGTAGAAACACTCCTAGTTGCTTCATGCCACTGACGATAAGCGTCGGCTTGATGGACCACTCGGCTCGGTATGAGACTTTCCCGCTTAAGGGCAGAAAATGTATGTAATACATTAGGAAGGTTAGGGTTTGAAGGGACAACATCACAGTATGTAATAAACTTTCATGAAAATATGTAGCAGTAAATAACGCATTGTTATAGACTATAATGTAATTATATACTAATACACTAATGACAGGGAAGTAATGGAAGCTATGTAGCAATATAAAATAAAATAAAATATTTTTTTTAGGTTATCGGGGACAAGAAAGGGGGAGAGACATCTTTGGAATTGTATTTTAAACGCGGCGATCTGAGCATTCTTGAAGAAATCAATCAAGTCGTTCAAGTACCAATGAAATTCATACACGTTCACAGGAATCCATTTGACAACATAGCAACCATTATGCTTCGCGCTACGGGCTCACGTGACGCTGTTAGAGAAGAAGGAGTAAAAGTATGAAGGTTATGATGTTTTTGACGTCATAGATCACCATGTTTATATTGCCCACAACTATAACAAAAATGATTTCGAATGTAAAGAAGGAAACTAGAGAAATAATTGTTAGCATTTTTTTAAAACTTATCGGGATTTCATTTGTGCTTTTAATATATATTCAACGTATAGAAATTAAGAGGGGTTTTGGATTTGGATATAGCGAATTTGGATGTGAACGCAAAGCATCAACCTTTCGAGGAGAGTGACCTAAAAGATCCTCAAACCTCAGTCAGCCCCTGCTGCAGTTGCGAGAGCTGTGACTGGGTCACTTATTTATAGGTATGGAGTTTAAAATTAACACTCCTGCTTTAGGGCATTGTGTCTTCATTTTGATTTATATTCAACAGAAAGAAAACGAGGGGCAGCTGGATGATCAAATTGAATCAAAATAGAAGCTCCTTCCTCCCCATCCCACTTCGCCACAACCTTCTCCCGAAAGGCTCCAAATTTCAACGACATTAATTTATGCATTTGCTTGTTTGTATCTTTTCCGACAGATAAACAACGCGACAAAACTAGACAATTCTATTGACTTTTACTCAGTATTGGCAGCCATTAACCAGCGCGTCAAGGAGAGGTACGGAGATGCAGTTCTTGATATTCCAGCACATGAAACAGTGCTAAGACCCAAGGAAACGCTACAAAGATTGTGTGACCATTTGGGTGTCACATGTTCTGGAGATTACCTCCAAAGATGCAGCGATATTTTGTATGGAGCTCCTTCAGTCACCAGAAACACAGTAGTTTGGACCGAGGAGCAAAAACAGCGCGTCATAAAAATGATGGGGAAACACCCTTTTCTAAACGAATATTCATTTGATAAATATCCCAGCTAAGAAAACAGTAAGGTGTGGCTATATGTCACGTTTTCCTCAACTCTTAGAGAAAAATGTTTGAGTCTTTTTGTTACATTGGCAACATATGGTTTTTAAACACTAATTAAAGTTTTCAAGTACAGTGTTTCAACCCGTTTCAACGCATTTCCAAACGCACAAGCATACGTGTATCTTGGCGATCATAGAATGCCTGTAAACGTGCTTGTATAGCTATTAAAGTGCATGACCATTATAAATGAGATTTCCTTAGTTTACTTTTTTACTTATAGAAGTGAGACACTTTGGGGTTGGATGCGAAAGTGATGGTAACTGATATCACAATTTATTTGACTTATTTACGGGGACTCTTGCCCCATGAGGTACTTAACATCAATAAAACGGAGGGCAGTATTTTTAGGATCAGTGTTAATCCCTTGAACCCAAGGAGGTGCTTCAGTAAATTTCAGATAGGTGTGTGCCGCGAGGGTTCTTAAACCCTATAAATGCAAATGGATACCCTATGCAATGTATGGGAGTTGCATTGCAATATTTCTAAGACAAAAAGTACTCACTGATGTAACAAAACAGTAATTTCCTTTCATCAGATAACATAAATAAATAAAAAAAATAGGAATATTAATAAACAAAAACAAAAAAATAAATAAATAAATAAATAATGATCAAATGAGTAATATTAAATAAATTATACAAGGTTACCCTGTCAGTGTAGAAATATTGGTACCAAAAAAATTTATATTAAATCCTATCGTATACCTTTAGAGGTGTCTCGCGTCCAAGCGATGTAGCACTTTTGGTTTAAACTGTAGATACTTACACCCCTTATCAAATTGAAAGCTCATCGAGCTGGCTATCACATTAAATCAAGACTTCTGAAATAAAATGAATTGTCGATTTTTTTACAACTCCTAAATGCGAGCATCCGAATCACCTTTTGAAAGCCACAAGTGAAAGTGAATTTTGTTTTTTGCTTCTTTAATTTGTCCCTCAGTTTCTGGAACCAAAACACTAAAAAACATGTCTGCAATTTGCCATATACAATTTCAGTGAAAAGTTACAGAACATTTTCGAAATAGGAAAAAATAATATGGAGTGATTGTAGAAATATCGCTCTTGGGGAAAAAAATATTATTTTGAAGATGAAAAATTTGCTGACCTGCTTAATTGTCATTTATATGTCGAACTAGCTACTGTCCAAATTTGAAGGCAGACAAACAAATTCCCTTTGACTTCTAGCTTTCAAAAGGGACCCAAATGATGATTCAGATGCTCACATTTAGAGGTCTTGAAAAATTTGACAATTCATTTTATTTCAGAATTCTTAGTACGGTGTGATAGCTACCTCTATAACCTTTTATGGGGTTTACGTATATCTACAGTTTAAACCAGACGTGCAACATCACTTGGACATGAGACAGTACACAGTAACCTTACATAACAGGAATCCCAAAATTAAAAGTAAATATAGCACAGCCATCTTATTAATATTCAAATTTAACACAGCATTTCACATAGATGTAGGAAGGTAGTCAAATTGAATTATAGATATTATACCCCAAATGATTATTACGAATGACTGCATTGCTACATGACACTTAAAAAGTATAATAACTAAGGTAAAAACAACCATCAAAAGCCTTATTCTACAAACTATATAAGGTGAGAACAGCTGGTAGCAGAATAGGTATTCCCAGATTTCACCTCTGCTCCAAAATCAAGGAGGGTTGCGGGAGGTGGGGGGTCGGGGGGAAGTGGGTGCCTTCTGCATTTGAACTACATACAGTAGTTATACCCTCCCCTCCCTCCCTGCTTTGCCATCCCCCCTTTTTTTCCTAATAGCCCTTAAACAACATGCTTGCAGCCATTAAGAGACCTTATATTTGATTGACTACCAGTTCAGATAACAATACACCTTGTCAAGTTCACCATGTATTTTTCATTATTTTGAGGAATAACTGCTTTTTCATAAGAGCTTGAATTTGACAGATACCATTTAAACTGAGCTTGTTCAGAGCTTTTTATTAAACATGGGGTCATACCTGCATTGAAGATGGACAGTTAGGGGTGAGAAATCTAGAAATTTGAAAGTGGCCCACTTTGAGACCAATTTAATGTTTTAAATGGCTCAATTGCAAATTTTCTTGAACAGTGAATTAATATTTAACCATAGCACTCACTCAAGTACATTTTTGTTGGGAAGGGACTAGATATTGAAATCGTAAGATATTACAAAAATATGCATATATGACGTCACAAAAAACACGGGGGTCACCCGTCAATCAAAAAAAAAAATGTCATTATTGAGAAGTAAACTTTATCTTGTAAAAAAATAATAATAAAAAATAAAAGACATAATATTTCGTACTTCCCTTTCTTAGTTCTGCGGCATAAGCTGTCGGCAGCTGGCCACCTCAAAACAGCCACACTAAAAAGAAATGTCAGTGTTGATGTAAACAGCATGGAAACAGCCGTGTGAACTTCTCAATCATAAGAACTAAACGAAAATTCTTGCCCAACCAAATTAGACATACTTCTGCGTGGTGTTAAAATGCTGTCTTGGGAATCTGCCTTGGCTGCGATATGACTGCAGATAACAAGAGCCCAACGACGAAATCGCTGAAATCGGCCATATTTCTTTACCAATGATTGACAAGGACTGGGAGCAAATTCCTTATTTGTCAATTAATATAGCACTGTGAGACTGGCGCGAGCGGTTTAAAAGAGCGGGAAATCAGAAATATGGCGGCCGATGCCCGGCATTTTGTTTGACCTTGGATTGGGGAGGTTTTGTGTCTTGCATTTGCTTTTACATGACTGTGATAAGGTACGCGGTATTTTTTATTGATCATTCGTGAACTAGAATATTTGAAACAACCATTACCCGCCGATATATTTAACAATACACGAAGAACGGCATCACAATTCGGCCTCTCGGATCCCATGTGTGTACCTAGTTGCCTTGAAATTGCACCCTCTTGGTTCTGTTTATATGAAATGCCTTTACATTCATTCTGTTTTAGTTTGGTTTGGAAAGCCTGTGGAAACTAGACCTCTGAGAGCGTTCACTTGGGCTTCGTATTGTTATTTCCCGGGAAGATACAGCCAAAAGATTTTTGTTGAGATGTGCAACCCGAGCCGACCTGGAAAACTGTGCCCTATTTCAGACCAAAATCTGTGCTTTTTCCATTCCCTGTTATTCAGACTTGAGCCAAAAATCGATACCCCATTTCAGAACTCTAATATCTCATGATATTGACCTCAGATATACCAGAAATAGCTTCCATCTGCATAAACATTTGAGAAAGGCGACAAATATGCGAATCTTAACGCCGAAGAAAATAGTTTCTTGTGAACAAAAATACCCAATGCCAAGTCAGAGTGAAAAACATTTCCTTTTTCAGACCAAAATGGTCAAAATGTATACTATGCCATTTTTCAGACCAACATTATCACTCAAAAACCATACCCTTCAGGGTCACACATACCTTTATAGCCCACATAAGGGACTAATCCTCGCCGGGGGGTATTGTTTTACCGGTAATGCTCTAAGCATGCAATAAATGATACAGCTGTATTATAATATTTACTATATCGTATAATGAGCACCTGCAGCTCCACGCACAATGCAAACCATCACTTCATTACATACTCATGTGAATTTACTCATGTAAATTATACAACAGTTCAGTTTATTACTCATTAAGGCCTCAACCCGTTTTAACAAACATCATATTCAATGATTCATAGACCACAAAATCTTGGGTCCGGTCTGGGGCTCAAATCCTTGACCTCCTGCACAGCAGACTTGCACTCTACTGTACCAACTAGCCAGGTGGCAGATGTCTTATCTAGCTGTCAGAATATATTTTTTTAATTAACAAATAAAGAAGCCTAAACCCTGTATTACACTGTGATAACACAACATGACAGGCATTTGAGAACATGAGGAAGACGTAGAAAACACTAGCTACAGACGAGAGTTTTCTATGTTTCTTGAGTGTTCTCAAATGTCCGGAGTGTACATGGATTATTACAGTGTAATATATGGCTTAAGCTTCGTCATTTGCTTTATGATATAGATGTTACACGCCACGAATAGAAACGACAAAACAGCTCGACAAAATGCGACTTCTCAACTGTTGTCGCTTCTTCTTCTTTATTTGTTGAGTTAACCTCATCTTCAAAACTGTCTGCTGCTTCGCAGAGAGCTCCATTACAAATTTCTTCAGAGAAAATGTTTTTCACCATCTCTAGTCTAACAAAAATGTTGACTAGAGGCAGTATGGCAAAAAAAAAAAAACACGCTTTTTCTATGTTTTAGACTGTGATCAAACATGGGGTTTTGACCAATCAGAGCACGCACAAGGTCCTATCAAATATTATAATGTACAATGTAATCTTAATCAGGCCTTTTTAACTCCCCCTTGTTAGTTTAATGATCGATTCTTTGACCTACATAATATTATTGTTTAGTCAACAGGACATTTTGATGGTTACATTAGCCACTTCATACACATTACATAACATGAATGAACATTGTTATATCACAAACTTAAAGTATTGCAAAGCTCTTGGTAATTTTTCAGTAAACATCAATTTATTCATATGAGGAAATTATTACATTTTGTATCCCTTACTTATACTTTGGCCGTTACACTCATCTCATTGCTTACATGTACATGATTATTTTTTTATGGGAATTTATTTTAAGTACTGCCAAACCCTGTTAATACAACCACCTTTGGGCCATAAAAATTTTGTAGGACCCCCCTTCATGTAGATGTACATGTAGACTAAATGTATTATTTGACTTATTTATTTGTACATGTACTTGGTACTTATTATATTTACTCATTAATTTTCTTAAATTGTGCCTGCCAACCTGAAAGAATTGGTCTACTTTGGCCATTACATGTGTCATCCTGTGTATGTTTGATTCACCTGAGACTTCATCTCATTTGTATAATAGCTTATTTACCATACATATGTGTCACTGATGACTCTTAATATCTTTTGCCTTGTCATATTTCTCAAATTATTGCATCAAAAAGAAAGGATTTTCTAATCTATTGTGTTTTTAGGCCCCCTACTAATTTTTGTTATTTTCAGTATTAATTTTCTGTCAGTTGATATTTGCGTATTATGTGCGGCCAACTTGCAAATCTTGGTTTACTTTGGCCACAGCATACCAATTGTCATATCTTCTTGTTACTCTATTTGTAATCTTTTTTATTTTGTACCAAGGCTGATGTAATTTTCTTTACAGGTTATGTCCACAGTTAAATTCCTCCTTCCCTCGACCAGAAAATGTGAAATAACTAGAATTACATATGGCTAATCCGCTAATAATATTGGAATCATCCTGGTTGACCTTGCTCAAAGTTCCCCTTTCATGTCACTACATGTACATGAAGTAACAATCACAAGGCACCAGTTATGATCCTCCACAGGGTCAATCTGCCTTCCAACCCCACCCCTGCAATATTGATGGTCTCTTCTGTTCAGATCACTCTTAGACATTTGGAAATTCAGAAGGGTTGTTGTGTTGTTTGTTATCTCTAAGGAGATATAAAAGACAATCACCACCCATTACATTATAGACACTCAGGGAAAATATTGTAATATATATTACATTAAGATTCCATTGATCAAATACATGTAGCAGGGTACACTGGTATACAGTTGGAGCAACTAGATAAGGGCCTTCCATGGGGTGTACAGTATACTCTCACCTCCACTGCTAGAGGTCCAAATGGTCATTATAGAAATTACTCTGCAGATTCTCCTCCCCCCCCCCCCCCCCCCCCCCCCCC